GGGTGGGGGGGGACCGACCTCCTAGCTATAAAATTATAATGGGTGTTCGAAGGCAGGTTCTAGGGGATCAGCTGAACTGATTGCTTTTGCCTAGTCTCGAACTATCTCTACATATGCAAAAACAAAATTATAATGTATACAATATAGTAAGATTACACCGATTCTAAACCCACAACTTAACGTCTTAGATTCGTGTATATGCTGATAGTAAACTGCAATTTTAAGATGATAAACTAAAAACATAACAAGCTAACTCTCCAACCATCCATAAACTAAAACAGCACAATGTTAATCAATGATATTCTTGCACTTTCTCAGTATAACACATAAAAATACATATATGGGTGAGGATTTACCTGCATATGATACATAAAGTACAAAAGAGAAAAAGAAAATCCACTAGGGACATCAAACAGACATATATAGTTGCTTCAACCATCTAGCTTGGTAAACTTACACTAGCAATGTTCTCTCTGTTATTTGCTCAAATCTTTGCACACTTGATCAAGGATAGAGAGGAAGTCCTTAACTACCATAAATATCCTAATCGGTCGAGCTTCTTCCTTGGCCGAGTCACCATAGAAATATTCTGTTAGCTCCTTTACCATGGATAAAGCAACATCCTCTTGAGCTTGTATATTGATAATTTCTTCCTCTACCTTCTTTAAAAATCCATTCATCGACTCGAAAAACTTTCTGCTACTTTCACTCAAAACCAACTCTTCGTTTAGCTTTAGGACATCAGTAATTTTTCTAACTCCAGTTGCTAGTTTTGCAACTTCATTGCTAAGAATATCGGTATCCATAACAGCTGCTTTCTTCACATTGGCAAGCTCATGGTTTAAGCCAGAAAAAACCTCAAGGATAATTTTTTTAAACTCAGCCTCATCGCGAACGACAGATTGCTGATTCTTTTCAACATTTGGAGTTGGATCAACAACAGAAAGATGAGAACCTTCTGCTCCAATAGTTTCATGAAGAACAAAATGCAAAAGGGTTGTCTTCCCATCAGCACCTTTAATATCTACAAGCTTAAGAAGCGTGTCGAGCTTGAAGGCACGAGCATCTCCTCTGTTGGTTCCAACGTTCATGCGGTTACCAGTTCTGAGCACAGCTTCTAGAAGCTTTAAGAATATTCTACTATTCCTTAGTTCTTCACATGCAGTCTGCAATGGCACATTGAATGTTAGAGATAAAAGGCTTTTAGGGAATGGTGCTTCTAACTGCACAAATTGGATTCCATCGTTATATGATCAGCTTTTATCATCTTTGCTTTGGCTTAAATGAGGTCTAGAATGCTGCGCATCCAGGATTTAAACTTTATGGGTTCATATCTACTATTAATTGTAATTTTAGTCAATCTTTACATATAAATTTACGCTCGGCATTGAAAGTAAATGTGTTCAGATGATGTCAATATTCATATGCTACATCCGCCCCTACTAGAATGGGCATGTCTATGAACCATTGTCAAACTTTTAGACTTCAGTTACTTCAGATAGTAATGGGACAGATATATAAAAGTTGAATGAAAGATTTGAGATACCGATCTGTTGATAACTAGACTTGTGTGCCAGTGCACACATCAGATAAGCAGAATTGCTGCATATACATACAGGAATAATGGCAAAAGCAATCTCATACCTCTAGCGTCTGAAATGATGTCCTAAGGTATTCAACGTCTGAATCAAAACAAGATATGTAAAGCATTGCATCCACCCTCTTGAATGCAAAAGGTATATCAAGAACTCCCTTGAGAAATTTCTCAGCAGGGCCTAGTTTGAATGATGATTCATCTTTGAAAACCTTCAGCTTCCGCTCTTCTTCTTTTGTAGGAGCCATCTTTGTTAGACTCTCCAGTAGCTCTGCTCCCAGCGTGTCAGCATTACCTGGTTTTTGTTTTATTACAAAGAAGAAAAAGCCTAAGTAGTTCCTAATGCAAAAGCCCCTTAATTTAAAGATCATTACATATGGAAATGCACTCACATGTTGCAGCGGTGCACCGGTCAGGAAATGGGACACCATAAGGGATTGTGTTTGAACTTTTGACCTTCAGGGAAGATCACCTGACCAGTGGCGGAGGCAGGATCTCCGCGAAAGAGGTTCAAAAAATAAATTTTGTCTTATATATACAGTGTAATTTTTCGACAAAGGGAGTCGGGTGAACCCCTTCCGCCCCCTAAATTTGCCCTTGCACCTTACCAATGGGCAAACCTTCAAGGTCAAAGGTTGAAGTTTTGTCCATTGGCGAGATGACCTACCCCAAAAGTCAAAAGTTCAAGACCAGCTTTTTTCAAGGTCATTTGTGTCATTGACCTTGCACCAGTGCTGCACAGGCGGCATTGTGGCTTATTGCATGGTGCACGGACACATGTTTTTATAATAATTACATTTTTATATATAGGTAAATATGTAAAACCAGATCAGATGAGCATCAAAGTTTATGCATAAGCTTGAAAGTGACATCCTGAAGAAATGGTAGCTGGCTCAATTTATGAATTATGGCCACATCACTTGATAGGAACAGAATTAAATATCACCACGTTATAGTGCCAAAGTTGCTTTTCATTCATTTAAAAACTAGAATGTGAAACCACCAAAGGCAGAATATAGACCACAAAATCATGTTCCTTCCCTCTGGAAAAATACCATAAAAAAGCTTTGATTTATTAACAAGTTATCATAATCTGATTAAGTGCAATACAAAAGGAGTCTAAAAAATATTACTGTTAGTCCAACACCTAATTACTCATTTGGGAACATTTCTGAGCAAAAATCTATTTATTTACCTTCTAAAAGCGCTTCACAAACTTCATCACTAGTGATCTGAAGTGCCCTCAACAAAATTGCAATGTTCCGAGACTTGTTTAAATCAAGCACCTGGTTCTCTTGATTCATTACAGGGATCATTGGGCGCCTTACGACATCTTTTGAATTCAAATTTGAATAATCTACAGTGAATAATGTTTCTATCATTTCCTCATTTAACCTACAACCAAAGCCTCACTTCAAAATTAGGCAAGTATATAGCTCAGATTAAGTACTTCGAATGAGGTAAATCTTACTGGAAAGTGCTAGATTTCAGTCGATCCCAAACCATTGCTCTATCTGAACTGGCCCTCACTTTATCCCAATGCAAAGGTTTTAGCCTTGGCTTCATACTTTCTTCATTACTCCTTTCAACAGCTTCTGAACTTTCAGAATTTCCATTATCTTTCTTCATTAAAACTGGCACTGATCGATCAAAATTTTTGACTACTAGAGGTTCTGCGACTGTTGAACCTTCCCAGAACCTCGGCCTAGGTGGCAGTGGTGGTGGCGGTGGCAGTTTTATCGATATATAACTCCCTGAATTGCTGAATTTCCTCATGGAAGACTCTGGAATTTGAACGGAGAAATTTTAAACTCGAGGAGGAGAGTTTCGAGTAGTGCTAGAAGATAGCGAAGATGATGACAATGATCCTTGTTCCACTGGTGGAAGAATAAACCTTAAATTTAATTTTCCAGAAGGACTTTTGGATAATGAATCATTTGAAGAATTAGAATTCGGGTATGCATTCAGGTTATGGAAATAACCTTCAAAATGTGCATAGGGACTTTTTTCTAAGAAATTGGAACTACCTATATCCCCAGAGGATCCTCCGGGGGAGAAGAATTCTTGCTCTTCGTCATCTTCAGGTGATCCTACTGAATCAGCATTTTTATGATTTTGTTTGAAATTTTGACGTGGCAATGGAGGGAGAGGGCGGAGTTCTGGTGACCTAAACGTTTGAAAGTATAGTGTAACACAGTCATTTGTTGCTGTGGAAGATTGAGCACCATCTTCATTGACTTTTCTAGAATTCTCAAGTGTGTAAAGATAATGTGCACTGCCAAATTCTGCATGAGAGGGGGTTGCATTAGGTGAAACGAGGCGACGACTATCACTTCTCTCGTGATCGTAGCTTTTGTCTTCGCGGTGGGGATAGCGATGAAGGAAGAAGAAGAGGACAAGAGCAGTGACGAATGCAACAGAGAGGACGGAGACAGAGACGAGGATGGCAATGAATTTGCTGGTGATGGAACTTTTAGAGGAATGCGACGTGTGTGGTAGAATGAGGGAAATGTTAGCAGGGAAAGTGGCAAGATCTTTGGAGGTTATTGGAGGAGGAGGAGGAAAAAGCGTGAAAAATGGATGAACAAACTGAGGAGAAGGAAATGGAGGTTTAGTGTTAATGGATGGAATTGAAGTTGGCGCGAGAGGACGATGAAAGGGTAAAAGTGATTGGTGGAGAAGCCGACGATGGCGATGGATATTAGTAGCAGTGGCAGTGGCAGTGGCAGTACTGGAGGAGGTGAAAATGAAGAAGGTGAAGATTAGAATGAGGCTGAATAGTGAAGAGTGCATTGTTAGTTGTGAATTGTGACTGGAAAATTATCATTGAACTCTCACTTAAAACTATCAAAGAGAATGAAGACGGGCACTTTGATAACAGTGGGGACTCTATATTAATTACATAGACACTGGGGAGGTAATAAGGAGTTGGATGAGATTGAGAGGGGTAAATGCTATGGTATTGGATGGATGGTGGGCTGGTAAACAGAGGTGTTTCAGAATTTAAACATAATAACTTTAAGTTTTCAATTATTTAAAATAGGAGTTCAAAACTTAAATTTGTCCCAGTATTTTTCACATGCTCGGCCGCATACACATGTGTGCGTATATACACAATGATGGAACCAGAAATTTACACAAGGGATTCAAAAAACTTTTAGGATGTCACATTTGGGATTTAAATCTCTTGTCTTAAAAATTTTTTAGAACCCTTCACTACAATACTTAAATTTTTCTTCATGTCAAGGGGATTCAACATCTCACATATAATCGAAAAATTATTTTTACCCTATTTATATAATATAATTTTTCGACGAAGGAGGTTTGGTCCCCTTCATACTGCTTAGTTCCGCCATTGTACATACACGCACCATTATCTATGCTTTGACTAAAAATAATCTTTTCAATTGAACTCACTTTCTACACTTTAGGTCTGCCTCTATATAGTAGGGAATTTATGTTCAGGGATAAGTTATGCGTCTTTTGTTTTGATGATTTGACAAACTTCGTGAGAGAACCAGATAAGGAACCTGATAAAATTAATTAGTTCTCTTGCGTTCAGAGTAACTAGTCAGATGTCTGGTTCAAATCTCAATGAAATAAGATAAGGGAACAAATATGGATTAGTTCCCCTAGTCGTCGTGCAGTCAACTCTACATTGTAAAAGCTGTTGCACTGTACCGTCTAGCAGGCTGCTGCACTCTACCGTTAGCAGCAGTACAACAGCATATATGTAACTTGCTAAGGCCAAACTAAAGGACACTTTATTGCATCATCCTTGATGACATCACACACACATATTTTCAACATGAGGCAAGGGATTTCATCTCTCCAACACTTGCAAATCAAAAGATAATATTCTCTCAAGTGCTAGCCCCCACCTCTCTCAAGAACAAAATTATTGTAACCTCAAGGACCAGATCCAAAGATTGAAGATATCTTAAGTCCTTAGGTTTGTTGAGTCTTTGTTATTTGTTCTTCATTTGTAATCCTACGCTAATTTCAAGAAGTGTTTTTGTAGTATAGATTTAAACCACTGCTTGGTTTAGTTTCATGACTAGAGTTAGTCAAGTTTTGTTGCTTTGTAATAGAGTTATTTCAAAGGGCTTACAATGGAATTATTGTAAGGGGTGGGAGATTAAGAGTTTTATTCCTAGATTGACTAGAGTTAGTCAAGGTTTGTTGCTTTGTAATATATTTATTACAAAGAGCTTACAAAAAACTTTTGATTTGTATTTCTCTATATATTCTATATATGGCCCCTATATATACAAAAAGGAATGAATAAAATGACAAAACCCTATAACAATTTTTTGTACCAGAAGACAAGAAATGAAAAATAATTCTCGAACGCTCTGCTTAAGTTTGTTTTTCTTTTCTTAATATAAAATGTTTATCGTACTAGGTTTGTCCAATACGTACTCAATTACTTTACAAAACTAATGTTCATCAGTCAAGAGATGAGTGCGTTTATATACTACTCTTATATTATTTTCATTCTTCAATTCCATATATTTTGAAATGATATTGGTATAGTCATAAGCCACCACCTGGCTACGTACGTTAATGTGTATTATTCTTATCTGAGAAAAATAATAATTTGTCCAAAGAATATTTCTTCAGAAACATGTCGTCCAGACCACCCAATATTTTAAAACATACACAAAATAAGGTTACAATTATAACCATAAAATCATGGCTTATATAGTCATAAGCCACCACCTGGCTACGTTAATCACAATATAATCTGCAAAATTGAGGAGAGGGAGAGAATGATGACGAAGGGTTTTCACATTAATTTTGAATATTTTTGGTGATCCTTCTCTTTTGCCCTTTTTATTAGTATATGTAATGCTCCTGACCGTAAAAACTTACTGGTATCAATTGTTTATTTCAGACCAAATAGACTCATAAAATATGTGTGTGCGTAGACTTATTTCAGTAAATCATAATTAGCTGTATAAATTTTCACTTCATTAAATCATTTAACCATAGTATGGTGTAAACAGCTAGTACCGTATAAAAAACTTTCAACTCGTGTCATATGGTGTCCATAACTAATGTTTGCCTGCTAGCACATTTTCCATAGGATACAACTTCTCTCCATCATCACAAACTCACAGTTATTACTCAAAATTTTAATAGGGGAAGAGACAGAAGAAAAAGAAAAAGAAAAAGAAAATTGGTGAAAACTAATAAAAAGATAACTTGAACGATCTGACAAGTTGTTTGGTTGATCGAGGAACTTTATCATTCGATAGCGTTACTATATAGGAGTATTTGACTTCGCCTAAGATATTTTTCTAGAGCTAATAATTTATGAGATTCCTCACAAATGAATGGATGACAATGGATCAGTTTTGGCACATTTAGGATGGTCGTTATACTACTTATTTATTGCAATATGATGGCCCAAAAATTTAATTGCTGGAACCAGAAAATAGGAGCACTTATGCATTGCAAACCTATGATGGCCAATAGAATTAATTGCTAGAACGAGATAGCAGGAGGTGTGAGTAATTCGTGAAAATTACGTAGTAGTAAAATAAATCTGCTACGTAGTAAAATAGTGAAAAACAAAACAGAATTAAGTGAGGTCATAAAATTAAAGTTCATCTATCTTGCATAACTAAATATCAGGTTTAAATTTATAAGACGAAAAAGCAATATCAAAAGAAAAATTGTCACTAAATTTTATACATAAATCAAAATAGAAAGATCGCACATGCAGTTTAGCATTTGCGGCTTCACTTTTGTAAATTCGTCTGATCCACACATGCAGAATATAGTCCACTTTGGTACAGGAATTGTCCCTTATACTTATTGGAGAGATAGATTATAGGTAGTAGTGATACAGATAAGTAGAGGAATAAGGAAAAAGCATATCTGGACCATTCGAGGAGAGTACGAGACTCATGGAAGACTTAGTTTTTGGGTTCCGAAGCCNCATCTATTGCATGACAGATCGGGGATGAAACATAATAGATTGAAGATCGACCCGGGGTTCCATCGAACCTAGGCACGAGGTTAGAACATGCGTCTTCAAGATTATCGAGTCAGTAACCCCGGAATTGACCCCGACTCCGAATTAGCTCGAAAACAAATTATCGAACCAAAATAACGGAAGGCTGAAGTATCTGTAACCGGTCGGATATCACTACAGGAATCTCGGTGCGTATCAATGAAACTGATTAATTAGCAAATCATGAGATTTTTTACCTTTTATAGAAGTGTATCAAAAGTAGGACTCCTCTACTATATAAAGGGGGTTTGATTATTTGTAAAGTATATTGTAGCACGCATCCCAAAGCAATAAACTGTTATTTCTAGTTATTATTATCTCATTACTCTGCTCCGGCACCGATTGTAGCATTTTTGACTCGAGGGTGACCAACCTTCAAGGCCAAGATTGTTCAATTTGTGTGGTTTGCATTTACTTCTTTTATCATTAATTTCAATTTTAATCTGATTTCTCATTTTGTATCAAATTAAATCACGTATCCTTAAAATCACGTATAAATTCAATTGCTATCCGATTTTGTGGGTAAATAGTTTGGCGCCCACCGTAGAGCTAAGGATAATAGTGGTTATTTGATACAAATCTCCATAACACACACTGCTTTACACTTGCTCTTTGAAGTGTCTTTGATTCCAGGCTAAAATACAAAAATGTCAAACTCTCAATTAGCACATCTGCATATTGACAACGAGTCCGGTCACCAAGGTGAAAATAACAACATAGCGCCCGATAACGAGATACCACCTGCTGATCCCGCTGGAATTCCGGTCGCAGATCCGATTGACGCTAATTCGCATGTGGCTATCGATGCAAACTTGCCTACCGACCCCGAAAATAGCGTTCGTGGTGGAGCCCAGTCGGCAACTCGAAACACAAAACGTTGAAGGGTACAAGATCAATTACGAGTGATCTTCGAAATGTTACAGGCTCAAGACGTAGTGATATCGTAGTTATAGAACCAAAGCCATGCACCAAGCAGGGTTGAGCCCAATCCACCCCGGGAAGTCACCCGGAGGGATGAACCGGTTGTAGGAAGGTCGAACGGACACAAATCGGGGCTAACCCCGTGATCATGAAGATGCTCAATGAGATAACAAAACGGATAGAATCAGGGGAGAAGAAAATTGAGGCTAATGACAAAAAGGTGAAAATCTACAATTCCAGGATAGGCCAAATCCCGTTTGCACCTCCGATATTGAAGGGCTTGGATTCCAGGAAGTTCGTGCAAAAACCTTTTCCTCAGTGCGCAGCTCCGAAGACGATCCCCAAGAAGTTCTGTACGCCCGAAATACCCAAGTACAATGGAACGACCGAGCCAAACGAGCATGTTACCTCTTCTATTATGCTATCAAAGGGAATGACCTGGAGGACGATGAGATCGAGTCTGCTCTGTTGAAAAACTTTGGGGAAACACCGGCAAAGGGAGTTATGATATGGTATCACAACTTACCTCCTAATTTTATTGACTCATTTGCTATGCTTGCAGATTCTTTCGTAAAAACACACGCAGGTGCCATCAAGGTCGAGACTAGGAAATCAGACCTTTTCAAAGTCAAACAGAAGGATAACGAGATGCTCAGAGAGTTCGTGTCCCGGTTTCAAATTGAACGAAAGGATCTGCCGCCGGTCATTGATGATTGGGTTGTTCAAGATTTCACTCAGGGACTTAATATTCGAAGCTTGGTGGCTTCACAACAGCTGAAGCAAAACTTAATAGAATACCCAGATGTTACATGGGTCGACGTGCTAACCGGTATTAGTCGAAAATCAGAGTTGAAGATGATCAA